CTCTTTTGTTCTTCTTCCCGTTGTCTCTGTAGTTCTAGTTCATGTTGTCTCTTTTGTTCTTCCTCCCGTTGTCTCTGTAGTTCTAGTTCACGTCGTCTCTTTTGTTCTTCTTCCCATTGTCTCTGTAGTTCTAGTTCACGTTGTCTCTTTTGTTCTTCCTCCAGCTGTCTCTGTATTTCTAGTTGACGTTCTTTCTTTTGTTCTTCCTCCCGTTGTCTCTGTAGTTCTAGTTCACGTTGCCTCTTTTGTTCTTCCTCCCGTTGTTTCTGTAGTTCTAATTCATGTTGTTTCTTTTGTTCTTCCTCCCGTTGTCTTTGTAGTTCTAGTTTACGTTGTCTCTTTTCTTCCTCCTGCTGTCTCTGTATTTCTAGTTCACGTTGTCGCTTTTGTTCTCTCTCCCATTGTCTTTGAATCTCCAGATCATGTTGTTTCCTTGCTTCTTCCTGATATTGCCTTTGGACCTCAAGTTCACATTGTCTTTTTTGTTCTTCCTCCCACTGTCTTTGTAGTTGTAGTTCACATTGTCTCTTTTGTTCTTCCTCATGCTGTCTTTGGACCTCCAGTTCAAATTGTCTCTTTTCTTCTTCCTGTTGTTGCCTTTGGACCTCCAGTTCACCCTGTCTTTTTGCTTCTCCCTGCTGCCTTTGTGCCGCTAGTTCTTGTTGTTTCTTCTTTTTCTCCTTCTGCCGTTGCATGTCCACTTCATGTGGTTTCTGCTCTTCCTGCTGTCCTTGTGCCTCTAGTTCATGTTGTGCCTGTTCTTGATCCCTTTGTTTTTGTTCCTCAAGATCCTGAGATATGTTTGGGATTTCTGCCTGCAATTTTTCAAGCTCTTCTCCATTCCTTCCCTGTTTTTCTTGTTCTTTTAGGCCTTTTGCCTGATGATCTTGATCTTTTTTCTCTTCCATTTGATAAAGTTGTTCTTCCTGAAGTTGCAGTTTTTTCCCTACTTGTTCTCCTTGGACTCCCTCAAATTCTTGAAATCTTTTGTGTTCCATAGGGCTTTTGAATTTCACTTCAGCCATTTCTTCCTTTTTCCCTGCCTCAAGTTTTATCCAGTGGTCTTGTTTTCGTTTTCCTTCAGTTTTCTGTTCCTGGATTTCTCCATGCTGGATTAACTTGTCTGGTCTGTAATAACTATCATCTTTTGTCATTTTATCTTCAGTGCCCTGCGATTCTAGGATGTCTTGTCCAAAGTCAGTTTCAATTAAACTTTGTACCTCCTAGTATTGGGAAATAAAAATAGAAGTAGAAGGCTATTATAATCCCATTCCTATTTTAAATAATTCATTGTGATGAATTACAGGTAGTCCTCGACTTACAACAGTTCATTTAGTGACTACTCAAAGTTATAATGGCACTGTAAAAAGGGATTTATGACTGCTTTTCACACTAACAACTGTTGCAACATCCCCATGATCATATGATCAAAATTTGGGCACTTGGCATATTTAGGACAGTTGCATTGTGCATGTGATCACCTTTTGTGATCTTCTGACAAACAAACTCAATAAGGAAGCCAGATTCATTTAAGGACTGTGTACAAACTTAACAACTGCAGTGATTCACTTAACAACTATAACAAGACAAGTTGTAAAATGGGGCAAAATTACTTAACAACTGTCTCACTTAGCAACAGAAATTTTGGGCTCAATTGTGGTCATAAGTCAAGGACTATCTATATTTGCTTTTATAAAACTTAGTCATATATTGCAACAATGTTAATGTATTCTATATAACATTTCAACATGTATAGAATAGATTAAGGTCTAGCAATTTGTCTCATGTTGATTCCATCCAGGTTTCAGGCATTTTGAAGTGCTATTTATGGAAATACCTATTTTGGGGGGGGAAAACAATTAGCATTCTACCATTTAGAAAATGTATCCATTCAGAAATTCACTATTCATCTAAGAAAGTTGCAGGATACGTAACAGGCAAGAGCTTGTATTCAAAGATATAAGGAATGACTCCCAGTTCTGGTGTATACTTGCACAAAGAACTGCAGGACGACAATGGTATAGTAGTGTAAATGTTGAAGTGAAATGGAAATAAGATATAAAACATGCAGATGACAATATCTTATCTGGAAAAAACCCTTGTTAATTATATACACTAATATTGGTGAACTAATCAGTCATTGTTATTACATTTCATTCTCACCCAAAAACATGTACAATTTGTTCTACTTCAAATTTATCTATAACAAAAGATAAAGGTTTATCTCAGGGGTCGGCAACCTTAAACACTCAAAGAGCCACTTGGATCAGTTTCCCAGAGAAAAGAAAACACTGGGAGCCACAAAACCTGTGCGCACATGCCCGCGCGCACAAGGGGGGGGGAACTTGATTGAAGAGTTTAATTAAAAAGAAATAGAGGCTGCTGTGCATGAGTTCTCTCTCTCTCCCCCCTCCCTTCATTCCTCTCTCTCTCCCTCCCTCCCTCTCTCTCTCCCCCCTTCCTCTCTCCGATCTTCTGCTCAGGAGAGAGAGAGAGAGAGAGAGAGAGAGAGAGAGAGAGAGAGAGAGAGAGATATGCTGCTTCCTGTTGAGACGCAGCAAAGGCAGGAGCCCCGCCCAATAAGCTTGTCAGCTTGTCCGAGAACAGCGTGAGGCCACTCTTTTTTACACAGACAAACACAGAGAGAGAGGGGGGGAGGGGAGGGAGAGAAAGAGAGAGAGAGAGAGAGAGAGAGAGAGAGAGAGAGAGAGAGAGAGAGAGAAGGGAAGCGCAAGTGCCTCTCTCTGTCTCTGTCTCTCTCTCTGCAAATGGCGGAGGAGGCTGGGAGCCGCAGGAGAAGGCTCAAAGAGCCACATGCAGCTCCGGAGCTGCGGGTTGTCAAATTGCTCAAGATTCTTTGCGATTTTGCCCAACAGATTTATAAAAGTCTCCACTCCCAAAAAATATTTGTAGCTCAGGGTTGAACTGTGGACTCCTTGCTACTCTCTGAGCTTGGTGGTTTAATTGTAGTCATTTCATTATCAGTCATTTCATTATCATTATCATACTAGGTAACATAATTAGTACTACCAAATGTTAGTACTAATCAGTACTAGCAAATGGGGTTTGCCACCTATTTATAGTAGCTTGCCCTACCAGTATAGGGGGGATTAGGGAATGCTAATAATTCCTTGATTAGGGAATTATTTTCTGTTAAGATTGTTTGTCTGGGGTTAATCCCTGCTTATCTGGTTGCTGGTTGCTGTGGAGGAATCCGTTTTTGTTTCCTCCTTAGCGCTTTATTATCTCTTCTAAATGGTGTATAAATATCGTTTATCTCTATAGTATATACATTTTTTAAGTCTATGTACATTTCTTTTACAGATGAATAGGAAAAAGCATATTGAGTGCAAGTCAGTAAATAAAATAGCAGAACCTGACAGTTATGACTTTATTTCTGAGAAATGATCATCCTATATAGCAGGGCAGAAAATCTCCCAAATGGGGTGAGGTAAATTTACATCCATGAATACCAGCTGAAGTGTAATACTGAAAGATTCAAAGGTTAAGCCATATTGTTAGAAGTGCTCTGTGTCTTAAAATCAGCAGCTAAAATTCAGACCTCCATAGCTATCAATTCAATACCTTTGACAATCTGTGCTTTTTGGAAACCCTCTGGTTCTTTGGCCTGACTGAGAGTTTGTGCTTTGCTGCGCTGTTGTCCAGGCAAGCGGGTGCCAAAGGGATGGCATCAAGGTTGACGGTTTCAATGGTTCCAGAAGGGGAATGGTGTCTTTTTGGTCGAGATGACACTTTGACAGGGGTCACCTAGAGAAATCCCAAGAAAAAGGAAAAATGAAGGGAAGAGCTGAGATCCTATATTTAAAGCAAAATGAATTCCAAATCCAGTAATCACTCTAGAAATGAATTCAAAGCCAGGTTCGGCAGTTTTTCTCTTATTGCTTTCCTTCTTTATTTTTATAACTTCCTGTGCCCCCAAATGGCCTTGATAAGTCTCAGAGAGAGAGGGAGCTAGCAACCAGATGACTGCAAGGAATATAAACCCTTCCATTCCCTACCATTCAGTCAGAACTGAAGCAGCTTCTTGGATGAGAAGCAAAACATCTTCAAAGAAAAGACAAAGAAAGTCCAGTTGCCTTTTGAAAAAGCATCTTTGGGACAACCATGACCTGGATGACTGAGAATCTCTGTAAACACTAACTCTTATGACAGAGAGCACCTTTTTTTCCCTCAGGACCACACAATATGGTTTTTTTCCCCCTGAGCTCTCAAGCTCCAGACTCATTGCAATTAAAAGGACTGGAAAATGCATTGGCACAAAACTCATTTCGGCTGAACCAACTTTCAAGAGACTTTCCTTGGATGAAAACTGATTGTTTTGTCACCATGAGTTAACTTCTAAACACCTTCTTCAGTGTTCTTCCACAAACTGAAAAAACAGCAAGGGGAGTGGATTGGAGACCTTTCCCATCATAAATGCCTACCCCTGTGACTGCACACTTAAGAGCTGGTATCAGGCAAGTATTTCTTTGGCTTTCAGGACAGCAAATGTATGACAAAAAGGGCGCCACTTGAACATTCCCCCTGTTAACAA